CAGCAGTTCGAAACTACCAGCTGTTCCACGGGAGAAAGATGAGGTTTTCTGCTCCCGTAAAGATTTACAGCCTTGGAAACCGTGTACAGGGTCGCTGTGAGTCGGAATCGACTCCACGGCACATAACAACAGTCAATTTAATCAAATGTATTATGTATTCCATCTGGCGAGGTCCATGTGTATCGTCGTCTCTTATGCTGTCCATTTTAGCTCACTAAGGCCTAAGATATCGATGTTTATGCATTCCATTTCATTTTTGACAAATTCTAATTTTTCTAGATTCATACTTTGTACACTCCATGTTCCAATTATTAATGGATGTTTATAGCTGTTTCTCTTCATTTTGAGTTGTGCCCCATCAGCAAATGAAGGTCCCGTGGGCTTTACTCCATTCACGTCATCACAGTCAACTCTATTTTGAGGAGGCAGCTCTTCTCCAGTCGCATTTTGAGTGCCTTCCAACCTGACGGGCTCATTTTCCAGCACCATATCTGACAGTGTTTCTCTACTACTCCTAAGGTTTTCTGTGACTAAATATTCGGAAGTAGTTCATCACTCCTTCTTCCTAGTCTGTCTTCATCTGAAAGCTCATCTGAAACTTGTCCACCATGGGTGACCCTGCTGGTATTTAAAATACCAGTGGAATAGCTTCCAGAATCACAGCAACTCACAAGCCTCCACAGTATGACAAACTGACAGACAAATGCTGGTTGCAATAACTTACTCATTGCAAATACTTTTTTAAAACTACTTAAACAGTGATTATATACATGGAATTCACTAGACAGACTCCACAGGAATCAAATTGACTACATCTGTGGGAAGAGAAAGTGGAAAAGCTAAAAATCATCATCAGCCAAAACAAGGAAAGGACCCAACTATGGATAAACAGACAATCAACTGCTCAGATGCAAGTTCAGGCTGAAGCTGAAGAAAATTAAACAAGTCCACAAGAGCCAAAATATGACCTTGAATATATCCCACCTGAATTTAGAGACTATCTCAGGTACAGATTTGATGCTTCAGATATGAATGACCAAAGACCAGAAGATTTGTGGGATGACATCAAG